TCCAAGAGCTGGCTGGGTGCAATCTGGCTCGGATTGCATGCGGACCGGAAGCAAGATAGCCGTGATACCAGGCAGAACCGAACACAAAGGTACATGATCACATCATCGCCCCAACTTGCTCCATGGCCAGTATGGGATTATGCAGTGGTGCGCCTGGTTGATGTGCAGATTCTGCTTTGGGGCACTTTTATGGGGTACGTTCCATGGCCCCTGCGGCACGTGTTCTGACATTCCTCCCTGCTGGCAGAGCGCCGCATCGGTAGGCACACCTTGTGTTCCTGTGGTTTTGTGGGCCGGAGCTTCGCACCAGGGCTGTCACTGCTCGGAAATGTATGGACTGGAGTCTGCCGCCTGACCTCGATGACGTCCAATAGAGTCTGGGACCTGAGCAGCACTCGCAGCAGTACATCCGGGCATAAGGTTTCCAAAAAATAGGGGTCGTCCGTTTAAGGGGCTTCTAATGTGTTTCGGGATATACAAGGGGTACCCCTATTATGGGAAATACCCATAGAATGCATAATAACTTATCTAAGTTCTAAAGATATGTGTTAGTCCACACAACAAAAGTAGGACGACGGCAAAACGACGGAGGGACGACGGAGGGACGATGGTGGGACGACGGAGGGACGAGGGCAAGACGACGGAGGGACGACGGCAGGATGACGGGGGGACGACGGCAGGACGCCGGGGGGACGACGGGGGGACGACGGGGGGACGACGGGGGGACGACGGAGGGACGACGGGGGGACGACGGCTGTCGCGCCGTCGTCGAGCCGTCGTCGCGTCGTCGTCGCGCCGTCGTCGCGCCGTCGTCGCGCCGTCGTCACGCCGTCATAAGGCCTAGTTTAAGCCCAAACTAGGCCTTATTTAGCCCAAACTAGGCCTTATTTCCCGTCATAAGGCCTAGTTTAAGCCCAAACTAGGCCTTATGACGGCGGGACGACGGCGGGACGACGGCGGAACGACGGCGGGACGACGGCGGGACGACGGCGGGACGACGGCGCGACGACGGCGCGACGACGGCGCGACGACGGCGCGACGACGGCGCGACGACGGCGCGACCACGGCGCGACAGCCGTCGTCCCCCCGTCGTCAGTCCGTCGTCGCGCCATCGCACCCTGTCGTCGCGCCGTCGTCACACCGTCGTCGCCCCGTCGCCACCCCGTCGTCGCGCCGTCGTCATCCCATCGTCGCCCCGTCAAAGCCCTGACGTCTAGACCCCTCTAGCTGGACTAGAAACCATACCCCACATATCTCTAGAACTTAGATAAATAATAACAAAGAGCCCTGGGTTGTGCGGCCCCAACATTGTAACAGCAGGACTTGACGGACGAGCTCCTGCAACAAACAACACGCACAAGAATCTTGCACCCCCCCCCCACCTCCCCTCCCTCCGCCCGAGCCATAAGACCTCAACCCTAAACCCCATCTTGTTCCTTTTTTCTTGTGGGCCTTCTTTCTTGACTACCCTATGCTGAAGCGATCGAAGAGAACCATCCTCAAGGAGGCCAGTTTCATCGGCTATCGTCCACGGGGCCAGTGGTGGAGGCATTCACGTTTCCTCTAAGCTGTTCAGAATGATCATGCAGTCCCTCTGAAAGACGTCCTGAATCCTGTACCGGCAGTGGGTCGGCTGGTGTTTACCCGGTCGTTGTTGTGCGTTTCTTCGTTTCTCCCCTGCCAAGAAGGTCAGGGTCCGGGGCTCCTCCCTCTGCGCAGTTTGCTTTTTGCTCTTTGCTACTTCTTTCTTTATTTGAAAGGGCCTCTCTCTCGGTCCCTCTCTCTCTCTCTCTCCCTCGATCGCTCTCTACTGTTACATCTCCGGAAGCCAAACCCTTCTCAAGTAGCAATCTTATAAACTACCTTCAATAAAAAAAACTATAAGCTAAAGCATGCCCGGCCCGACAAACCCTCCTGATGAATCCTGTCTGTTTTCAAGCCTCTGCAGACCGGATTTTCAGATGCTAGAAGAAAACTCTAGCAGCCCCCAAAGCTGCTACACCAACCCTAAAACCGGATCTTGCCAAACACCAGCGCAGCTGCGGCATGCTGCGGACATCCCACCCTTAACCTAAACCCTCAACCCTAAGCCCTATAAACCCTAAACCCTAAGAAATAAACCCTAAACCCACAAAGCTCTGAACCCAGAAGCGAGTTCAGATGCAGCGGAGCTCGGGCTTCGGACAGGTCTATGCTCGACTCGTCCTCCTGGCACAGTCTCGGGCTCAATACGTGGAACGTGGAAGGGCTCTACTTGCGGCTTCTCATCCTGGATCTCTGTTTAGGGTTTAGGGCTTAAGGATGTTTAGGGTTTTTGGAGCTTTGATGGATTATGATCAGAATAGTTCTTGGTGAGTACTGATTCTTCAGGCCTACTCTGGGATTTCGGCATTCTGAGCCGTGAGAGCCATCGACATGCTTCAGCTGGAAGTAGCGGAACAAGCAGGGCACTTAAACAGCATGTTCCACACTTGCCTTCTCGTTTCCTAATATTTTGCATCTATTTGTGCGATGTCGTACCGGTCCGCAACAGCCTCTACTTAAGAGCAACTTGCAACCCTTAGGCAGGTGTAGGCGGGAGCCACACAAGCTTCCTTTAGGACCGACGAGGCCTCCCCACCCCTGGGCTTGATAGACTTGAATCCTATGCGAACCCTTGTCTCTCCCGCGTCGCGTCGCCTTAGCCGCATCATCTCCAGAAGCTTGCTGAGCCGTCTCAGCTCCTCCACAGGGGTTCAAAGCCTACAGGAACCTTGTTTTTTTTTCAAAGTTGCTGACAAAAGGCAAAACCTTTAAGCATCCAACTAGCAATTTCTGCATACATGCTGGCCTTTACAAGTGCCACTTCTTGTCTTAGAAGGCCAATTCAATTCTTAAGCGTAACAGCGTAACACTAGCAACATTTGAAATTTACAAGGTTCTTAACACCTTCAACAGCATGAATGTCCTTGTTTCAAACCCAGTTCAAAGAATATGAGCAGGTACACCTTCGTATTTCAACAAAGCTTATTCGCTCCATTGCAGTCTCCCATCTGCAAAGTGGAACATGTAAAACACATGGTTTCAAAGCTTGCTTTACATGATTCCATGATCAGCAGCTTTGAACATGCACCTGTTTAAATGGTCGAGGAGTTTGTTTCCTTTGACGGCGAGCGTGCGCTTTCAACTATCAAGTTCAAAAGACGAAAAAACGTCAAAACACTTCAACATTCACAGTCGCGTTGATGAGATGTTGTTGAAAACTACAATCGCTCTGCCACCTTCTCCCACTGCGCAGTAGAACACTTACATGGTGGTTTCCAAGATTAGGGGTACCTTCTCGGGGTCCTTATTACAAGGGAATCCTACTGTTTGGGGGGTCTATTGCAGGGGTCCCTTGTTCTACGTAAACCCCCACATTTGACTGTGAATCGCGTTCTCAAGGCCAGCAGCTAAATTGACAGTTACAACATGAACATCCTGATAAACTTTAAGCTGTTGACTTTGACTTTGAATGCCGGCGTTGTGGCAAAACATGAACAATGAAGTTGTGTTTCACGCTGCCTTCAAAGGCAAAAAATGCAGATTTAAGCACATGCAAATATTTCAAGTTGGGACTTCTTTCCTTTTTGTAACTCTGACTGGAGCGATGGGGACAGGCGCGGCCCTCTTGGTGGGGCCTCCTGAAGGCCAGTATATTGAACCTGTATAGATACATGATACATATATCGAATTGAAGATGCTTAATTCTTATTGAAGGACACCAAGAAGGGGCCAGCCTTTTCCATTTTGATGACATGAAGCCTGCGCTGCTGATGGCTGCAGGGGTGACAATGGTCATCAGGTCCCCGGCGACCCCATTCTTGACAACCCCAACGAGCTTCGCAGCTTGAACCCTTTTTGTGCAGCAGGCTTGCGCCCTAAACCCTACACCCTAACCCTAAACCCTAAACCCTAAACCCTAAACCCTAAACCCTATGTCCCCAACCCGAGACTTTGAAAGTGCGCCATGGTGCGTCCTTCGCAAGTACTGGATGCTGCCATGGGAACTCCAAGGCAAAAGGACCAGACCTCCCGGATTTCTTGGAGCAATTTGAAGGTTTTATTGTTAGAAAAAAGGCTTGGAGGTTATTATAGTGCAAGTATGAAGGGACCAAAAGGGGAATATTATTAGTAAATTTTTCCGACCCCTGTATTACTTGGAGGTCATGGTCAGTTAGAAGTGGGGTTAAAAGTCAGGCAATTAAACTTATAGCTGGTTAAACCGTCTTTCGGGTGCTTATAACCCTACGGATAACTACCCATGAACCTTCCAGTACGGGGGGGGTTTGCAGAAAGTCATTGGGCTTCTGGCTGGGGGTGATTTTTTCGGCCAATGCTTCTATGATACCTCTCTAGGCTTTGTTCTCATGCCCAGCTTTCCGAGAAGACATGGTGTGCCTAAGGACCTCATGGTCAGTACCTAATGTTGCTCCCCGTGTTTCTCTCAAAGCCTGAAGCCTCGAGTGGAAGCTGCCTCCTGCATCCAAACTCCTCGTCCAACTGTTTTACGAAACAAGCCCCCAAACAGTTGTTCAAAGGGGCAGTAGTCCGCGAGCTTCCGGATGCGGTTTGGTATGCCCAAAGGCAAAAACCCTAAACCCTAAACCCTACACCCTAAACCCTAAACCCTAAACCCTAAACCCTAAACACACTCAAAAACCAAGCGCAAACCCCTTGTGCCTCCCGGCGCATTTCTGGCGGCACGCCTCTTCGCATGAGTCCAGGGAGAGCCTCCGCTGGGTTTCAGGGTTTAGGGTTTAGGGTGTGGCGCTTGCTGGGCTAGGCAGCTTCGGATTTTCGGTTTGGCACTTGCACCTCGCGCCAGGCAGGCCAGGCAATTGTTCAGAGCTCACACTACGACAAATAACAAGGAGGATCACCATAAAGCACCAACAACATAGCTGAAGCATAGCTAGGTTCCAAAACTTATATGAGTGCCACTCGATCCTCCTTTCACTGTTGGCGGTCTCATAGCTGATTTATTGCAGCTTGTCATCTATCTGCTTTTGTAGCACCTTCAGCGCCTTGTAGCGGTTCTGCAGTTTCAGGTTCCTCTGCTTCTCATGCTCAACCTGATCCCTGAGCTCCTCCACGCGGCTCAGAATTGCCTTCTCTTCTCTGGCCCGGAGCGTCTGGAAGACCTCTGTCTCGATGGCAACGGTTTCCCGCTCCTCGGAGAGTTTCCGAATATGAAGGAGCGCTTGTCTCGCCTTGGTCATGTAGCCTCCCAGAAGTCTTTCCATTTTCTCCTCCATCTTTTTTGACTTTTTGCTCTCCTTCTGGTGATGAGAGTCTACGATCTCGAACTTGTGCCTGGCGGACTCGGTTCGTTCCTTTCGGCCGAGGCGCCGGCCGTCCACATAGCGCTTGGCAGAGGGCAGGAAAACGTAGGGCTCGCTAGTGCTTTCCTCGAAGGCTGCCTGCACCGCCACTTCGGAGTTTTGACCACCGCCTGCATCCTGTGCAAAAGCCTGCAGCTCCTCCTCCAGCAGCTCGCCAGCGGACTTCAACTCCTCCAGGCTAAAGTCAATGCCCGCTGGAGGAGCCTTCTTCGGAGGCTTGGCGCCCTTGACAGGGAACAGCACAGCGTCACGAGTCACCATAGCACCCATCTCCTCGTGAAGCAAAACTTCTGCCTGCTGCAGCAAATGTTTCGGCCCCTCCAGCACTTCTCCGGCTTGCGACGCTGCACTCTCAAAGATCATCATCTGCGTCTGCACGGGGCGTGGCAAACCCAGTTTTACGGGCTGGCTTTGCTTCTGACGTTCGATCTCCAATCTTTTTTGCTCCTCCTGCGCCCGGCGTTTGTCGGCATCAGCAGCGTCTTCCTCCAAAGGCGCCTGGCTGTCTGCTTCCTCCTCCATGAGATCGGGCATCGAGATCTCGACTTCGTTCATCGGGGCTGGCAAGCTGCCCAACGCGGCTTGCATCTGCATGCGCTGGTTTGCCTTCCGGATCCTGTCCGGCATCTGTTCAAGCTCCTCATCCTGATTTAGTGCCAAGCCGTCGCGAAGGCCCTTGCCGGCACCTCCTGGCCCGGGGGTACCACCAGGTCCAGGCGTCTGTCCAAGAAGTGGGTTCGGCGTGAGGCCAGCTGTTGCACCGCGAAGCCCTGGCGTCTGTGCCAGCGGATTCGGCGTAGCTCCAGGCGTGGCACCAGGCGTGACACCACCTGGTGTCATTGAACCTAACATGCTTGCAACCTCCTCACGCGGCGTCACACCTGCCTGCACCTGTGCTTCCAGCAGAACAGGATCCGGACGCCTTGGGGTCCGAACTGGCGTCGCACCCGGCGTGTCCCCATAGCTTTGAACAAGGCCCGCCGTGGAGGTGTCAGCACTCTCAGCCTGAAGTGCAGCTGCATCCGCACCCATCTTGACGATCGCTTCGAGCTCCTCGTCGTTAAGCTGCGGGGCGGGCAGGCTCAATGCTGTACGTTTCCGAAGCTGCTGGGGGTCATTGAGCTTGTTGATCATATCGATGGCCTCGGGAAGGTTCTCGTCCTTCAGGCGTTTGAGCTTCCTCTCATCATCCTTGCGCCGCCGCCTCTCCTCGTCCAGTCGGGTGCGGTGCTCAACCGCCTGTAGTGTCACGTTCGCCATGCCCATGGTAACTCTTGGTGTCTCTTCCGGTCCGACTTCATGGAAGCCCACGGGAGGCACGGCCTCGAAGGGCACTTCCTCCCCATAGTCAATGTACTTTCGTGATTTGTACCTCCGCGAGGTGCTGATGCCTGCAGCCTTGAGCTCTCGCCGCTTCTGCAGTGCAGCAAGCCGTCGTGCCTCTTCCAGTTGCTTCTCACGCGCCTTGCGCTTTGCTTTCTTGCCGCGGGTGTTGGCCAGCCTTGCACGGGCCTCTGACAACATCTCCTTCTCATCCTCATCCATATCAATCGGATCAGCCCTCGCAGGCTTGGTCTCTGGATGAGGATCGATCTCGCCCGGCTTCAATCGGCGCGGATCGTTTTCGTCCATTTCGTCTTTGCCCTGGGCTTGATCCAGAAGCTTCTCGTAGTGCTCCAAGCATTGGTAGGCTGTGCGGCCAACAATCGGAGCTATCGTCCGCCACTGGGTTGGGAAGAGCTTCGCCAAGTGCAGCAACTTTTCCTCCTCCTCACGCGTCCACTCAGTCTTCTTGACACTGGGATCCAGCCATTCGTACCAGCGAGACTTGCACTGCTTGGGACTCTTCCTGGCTAGCAGAGAAGCAACTCGAGGCCAGTTGTTGAGGCCATATTTCATGACCGCTGCCTTCAAGACTTCATCCTCGGAGTTTTTCCAAACACCTCCCTTGATGAGGATCCTCATTTTCGCTTGAAGCACCCGGACTGGCCGGTATGGCGCGCTGCGGAGCTACGTAGGGGTGTGGATGCACTTCCACGTTTTCGAACTGTGTTGAAGTGAAGTCTGAGTTGTGTAGATGCTGTAGTGAAGCAGCTGTGCTGTACGTCCCTGGCTAGGTACTGAAGCAGTCCTACACTTATCTTTGCATGCGTCGTACTGCAAATAATGAGTTGGCTTTTTTGAGCCGCATGGCTTGAGCCCTATAGCAATTCGATTGTCGGTTTAAGGGCTTGCGAATCTCACTGATCATCTAATGTTGTAGTTTCGGGCCGTGGAGCATGCTGCAGGAGTCCAGCTGTGCCCATGCAAAGTGGGTACGGGTACTTCTCTGTAGTCAAGAAACCTTGCGTTCCCCCCCAACTGGCGGCCTTTGGATCGCGGAGTCGTGGGTTTCGCGAGCAGAACCTTCAGCATCAGGGTACTTTGGTGCATCGTGTTGGCGTTTGTTTGGGTTTAGATTTGGGCGTGCGGCTCTCACGCTTGCAAAGCTGAAGAAACCAAATGCTCTCCGGCAGCACTCAGTTTAGGGGTTTCGTGTATGGGCGACACGGGTGCCGGAAACGATGGCTATGTTGGCATTGCAAGCCCAAAATTGCTTGTCTGGCCGGCACGCGAGCCTGTGCCAAGCTGTGGCGAAGTCCTGACGACAACACACTCTTATTCCTCCATTAGAGTTCTCCACCGCGCAGCATGCAGCTTGCTTTCTGAGAAGCGTGGCAATCTTGAGCTGAACCGAAACCCGAACAGCTTGAACCCCGCTACTTCCGACCCCTTCACTTTCCTGGTGAAGCCAAACTCATCAAAACCAAGCGCCGGTTGTTGCAACCTCCTCCATGGATCCCGGAACCCTTTGACTCGTCTTGGTCAGGACCCCTCTAGGGGTAGGGGATCAAAAAAAATTATTTGGGATCAACAAATAATTTATTTATAGGCGGATCAAAAAAACTTATTTGGGATCAAAAAATGATTTACTGAAGGCTTCGAAGGCCTGTTGCAAGCGGAGCGGAGGCTGTAAACGCTCAGAAATGCAGCATTTCTGGCCGTTCGCAAGCTCTGAATACCGAAAAAAACACAGCAGCTATGCGGGAACTGCTGAAAACAGCAGCATTTCTGAGTTTCTAAAGAGGCTGAAGATACTAAAATCAAAGCAGCAGTTCTGTGCTTTCAGAGCTGTACCCCGCAGCATTTCTGAGTTTTCAGAGGCTGCAGATGCTGTAAATACCAGCATTTCTGCGCTTTCAGAGGCTGGAAATACTGTAAATAGCAGCATTTCTGAGCTTCCAGAGGCTGCAAATCAATGCTGGCATCTTGGCATTAGAAGTTTCTCGTATGCTCTGAAGCAAGCACGATTAAAGAAAGAGCGGGGGATTGGGGGGGGGCGCCCCCCCCCCCCCATGCGCAAACACAAGGCTCGCATCATGGGTTTCGAAAGTATGATGAAGCACCTGGCACGACTTTCTCTAATTCGGGGGGGTTGGGGGGGCCCCCCCCTCCCCCCCAATTTGCAGACACAACGCTCGCATCAGAGGCGTCGAAAAGACGCGTATGCTTGGAAGCAAGCTGGCACGACTTTAAAAAAGCGGGGGGTTGTGGGGGGGGCCCCCCTATTTGCAAACACAATGCTCGCATAATGGGTTTCGAAAAGATGCGTATGCTTTGAAGCAAGCTGGCACGATTTCTTCCTTGCTTTCTTTCTTTTGCTATTTATTCCTTTTTACTGTTTGTCTTTCTTTCTTGACTTCTTCCTTCCTTCCTTCCCTCCTTTCTTCCTTCCTTCTTTGCTTCCTTGCTTCCTTGCTTCCTTGCTTCCCTGCTTCCTTGCTTCCTTGCTTCCTTGCTTCCTTGCTTCCTTGCTTCCTTGCTTCCTTGCTTCCTTGCTTCCTTGCTTCCTTGCTTCCTTGCTTCCTTGCTTCCTTGCTTCCTCCCTCCCCTTCCCTCCTCTCCGCCGGAAGAGCAGAATAAATTATTTCTTGATCCTAAATAAACTATTTTTTGATCCTAAACAAATTTTGTCTTGATCCTAAAAAATTTTTTTTTGATCCGCATCCCCCTCTAGACCCCCCCTAACACCCCCTAAAAAACCCTAAACCCCAAACCCTAAACCCCAGACCCGAAACCCCCTTACACTCCCCTCCTCTTCAGGCTCCGCAGGTGCGGCCGACTTCAACTCCGCACCCTGCACTGCTGGACACTTCTCCACATAGCACTGGACGGTTGCTTGCCACACATTTGTGGGTGTGCCTGAGGCCTCTAACTTCAAAACCTGGCTCGGAGACTTCAGATTCCCAACAAACTTTCTGGACCCTGGATCATTTCATCTCCTTGGCAACACCGCTGTTCGAACCCAGGCCCCCGAAAAACAATTTTCAAGGGGGTCGCGCGCGAGCTTCCTTGACGCATTTTGCTTTAGGATATTGTTCGGGTGGCCCGAAATAGCCCGGAAGCCGACAGAGGCGCGAAAAGCCGGAAGCCTGGGCCACGAAACAGATTGTGCAGCGTTTTGTTTGTTGCTAGAAGTTGCCTGGGGAAAAAGAAGGGGGGGGGGGGAGACCTCCCAAAACCGAGCACAGCATTAGAGGTTCCTTCTGTCTGGCCAGGGCCCAGGAATCTCATTGGATGCGTACTGAGTCTGAGCAAAAATTTGAAAGCTTGTATGATGATATCTGGTGCTATGCATCTCGGCACAACATATACTCTGAGAGCCAACTCCACAGTTTGCTTCGACTGCTCCAGGCCTGGCCGAACCAACGCGTTCCGGACCTTGGCAATGCATGGCCCTGCAAGTCGCGAGCTCTTGTTAGGGGTGTAGGCTCCACTTGCCCATTTATTAAGAAGTTTAATGGGAATCCCGAACCTGTCCTGACAATGCCAGGTCAGCCCCCCTGATTCTGAGAGTTCTGAGTAGGCAGCAGGAGGGCATCCACACCTTTCCACGGCTTTCTGTCGGCTTCGAGGGCCGGGGAAAGATCGTGTGCACAGGCTTCACCCTAGAAGACCTTCAGCCCTGAAGCCAAAGAAGCATAGGACGTTGTAGGACTTCACCCTGAATCTGAAGAAGCGTTGCGGACACATGGTCTCAAACTCCGCTCCGCAGCACCCCAAGCCCCCGTGCTGGCATCTTCCCGAACCTCTACATTGCGAAGACATCCTCGGGCCCTATAAACATCTTCATAATAAACATCTCCAAACTACCAGGATGGGCTAGTAGCCCTATAAAGGGCCTTCTTAAGGGGTTATAGGGTATAGTAGCCTACAGTCCCCATAATCAACCCCCATAAAGGGCCGTTTAAAGGGGTTACAGGGTTTTGATAGCCCGTCCTGATAAGTCCAAGGAAACCCTCAGCCCTCAACCCTAAACCCTAACCCTTTTGCAGCAGGACTCCAACCCTTTTAACCCCTGGGCTGAGGCCGGGACGTGCGTATCATCCATTCACAGGCAGAAGAAAAGAACACGAACAGAAGTTCCCCATCAGCACTGGTGACTGCCAAGGAACTACACATTGGGTAGGAGCCCCGCCAAGCAATGCAGGAACTCACGACAACAGGACAAAGCAAGGCACCCTAGACCCTAAACCCTAAACCCTACACCCTAAACCCAGGGAAGGAACTCCTTTCAGCCCACCTCCTCGGTAGCCCGAGCCCTTCTCGCGGGTCTGCAGCGCCGAGCGCATGTCCTCGCTTGCATCCCGCCCGTGAAGCCACAGCAAAGGGTTTAGGGTTTAGGGTTTAGGGTTTAGGGTTTAGGGTTTAGGGTTTAGGGTTTAGGGTTAGGGTTTAGGGTTTAGGGTTTGGGTTTAGGGTTTAGGGCAGGCATTGATGCAAGCTAGTGAAGCGTAGACTGAACCTCGTAAGCCATTAAGAAGAACTCACCGGCTGTCCTGGAATCCTCTTACCAAGTTCTCCATGCTCGCGGGAGGATGGGCTTGGTCGCCAAGCCGTCAAGCCGCCAGTCACAAATCGTCTGAACGGTCGGACCGACTTGCAGACTTGAACTTGGACTCATGGATGTATGGCCAGCTTGGCATGAAGATTCTTGCACAAATGCTTCATATCTCATATTGGGTACCATATGTAGGGGCGGCTGCGAATGAGGGGTCGCCAGCTTGAGTGCAACGGTAAATCTGAACAACGAACAGGCCATGCTGCTTATGTGGCAACTTCTTGAGCCGAGAGCAGGAAAGTCACTAAACTAAACCCTGAACCCTAAGCCTTTCTGGCTTGCAACAGTTATATAGGATCAGCCTTGAATGGCTTTAGCGTTGGTATCCGGTACATTGTACATGATTAGTACGTGTACGTGGCAGTGGTGGCCATTGTCCTAGAACGGAAATGAGTCTTGCTGCTAGAGCCTTCTGGCTGAGATGCAAGGAGGCATCTAGTTGTGTTTGGCTTGTCGGACAAGATGTCCCGTGTTGTGCTGACTGTGGTTCAGTAAGCTGCATAGCTTCTCAGTATACAGTAGCAGCCAAATGAGGGTGTGGCGGCTGTAGCAACTCTCGAAGTTATAATCACCAGTATAAAAACCCACGGCAACAAGTAAAGCAATAAATGGCAAGTGACTCGTAGGCAGTTTTGCAACCTGGGCAGCAAGAGATCCAAGCAGTTGCTAAGCTAACCAGGACACAGGTTCTCCAGCTTGGGAGTCCCTGGCCAGTGACCACACTCACGCTTGTGGTCGCACCTCAGCCCAGAGAAGAGCATGCAAGGACAGGTTTTTGGAGTAGCTTTACGTTTACCTGATTCCCAGATCGTCTCCTTTTGAAGGTCGACATACTGAAATTGTGCACACACAGAGACACAGGTATACGTGTATATATATATATATACATGAATAGAAGCATCCCCTTTTCTTGATACTCACATATACTTAGTTGAACATGTTTTGTTTGTCAAGGCCAGCAGTTTAAATTTGAACACTATTCCAAGTTGCATGGGTTTTGGAGGTGAAGATTGACCTCATTTTC